CGTAGACGCTTCGCCATCCAGCCAGCCACTGGATGGCGAAACGTCCACAACAAAGACAACCAGACGCCGCACATGTGTCTTAATTTCAACAGTAGTAGTAGTAGAAGAAGAAGAGGTAGTAGTAGTGGTAGCGGAAGAAGTGGGAAATAAGGAAGACGAGCCAGTCAAATACAAAGGAAGGGGAGCACTGCAAGAGAGCTAGAACCCACAGAGGGAGAGCAAGCGCACAGAGGTGCGTGAAAGGGGAAGTGGTGAAATAAAATAAATGAAGGAACAGAAACATGAGACAGGAGAGAGAAAGACAACCCAGAGGAGAAAAGGAGAGAGGAAAGGGGAAGAGGAAGAAGAAAAAGAAAAAGTGAGGATTCAGGTTAAGTCACGGGTGTTCTGAAGTTTGGAGCATTTTACAATGTAGTGGGAGAGGAAGGCATCTACAGAGACGAAGCCAGGGCTAAGGTTCATACAAGGAAAGTTGTGTATTAGAGAGGATTCAACTAGACGGCGACTGTTCGAGTTAGAAGTAGGGAAGACAGTTTTAGCAGAAGACCAGTCAATAGGATGGCTATGATCTCTGACGTGACAGAAAAGAGCATTGTTAGTGTCGGCAAGCCTAACACTATTTTTGTGCTCCCTAAGTCTGTCAGAAAGAGATTGACCAGTTTCTCCGAAGCATTGAAGAGGACAGGAGGAGCAAGAAAGAGTAGACACCAGGAACATCTGTAGAGGGAGGAGAGGTATGAACGAGATTAGTGCGAAGAGTGTTAGTCGCACTAATCTCGTTCATACCTCTCCTCCCTCTACAGATGTTCCTGGTGTCTACTCTATTTCTTGCTCCTCCTGTCCTCTTCAATACTTCGGAGAAACTGGTCGATCTCTTTCTGACAGACTTAGGGAGCACAAAAATATTGTTAGGCTTGCCGACACTAACAATGCTCTTTTCTGTCACGTCAGAGATCATAGCCATCCTATTGACTGGTCTTCTGCTAAAACTGTCTTCCCTACTTCCAACTCGAACAGTCGCCGTCTAGTTGAATCCTCTCTAATACACAAAATGCATTTTTATGTTAATATTTTTGGGTGTCTGGAACGGATTAATTGTATTTACATTACGTATATCTTATGGGAAATATTACTTCGGTTTTCGTAAGTTTCAGCTTTAGACCAACCTTCTGGAACAGTTAAGTACGAAATCTGGAGTTCCACTGTACAGTGGACCCCCGCATAACGATCACCTCCGAATGCGACCAATTATGCAAGTGTATTTATGTAAGTGCGTTTGCACGTGTATGTTTGGGGGTCTGAAATGGACTAATCTACTTCACAATATTCCTTATGGGAACAAATTCGGTCAGTACTGGCACCTGAACATACTTCTGGAGTGAAAAAATATCGTTAACCGGGGGTCCACTGTATATGTAATACATTCTACTTGATCAGAGTAGTAGACAGCAGTGCCTCCTAGTTGATCATGCCTACAGTCATGTATCGCTGTGTAACCAGGTAAGACAAAGATGTCTGTTAAGTCATGTTTGAGTCAGATTTCAGTAAGAATAATGAAAGACATGTTAACATTTAGTGAACTAAGCAGTGCTAGGAGGTCATCATAGTGTTTACTCAGTGATCTAACATTATAACTGAATATTGTTATGGTCTTGGTGGCACTGAGTACAGTTTTAGCCTGACTAGCATTGTAATAATGGCAAGTGTTTTCAGGATCGATATCTGCATTCATAAGACTAACGAAGAATTTATGTATGTATTAATAATAGGTAAACAGAATAGGTAAAAAGAAGACTTGTTTACAAAAGTCAATGAAAAAATAGTATATTCTGTTCTTAAAGCCATGCTCAATACTTCTCAATATCACTTATTTGGAAAATAAAGCAATACGTACTTTGGCTACAACAATTAAGACAAACCAACAATACTGTTGCAACAACACACACCACCACAACTGCAACCCGCAACATGGTTTTAACAATTCCAAATCCACAACACTATGGCTAGAGTAATTTACAACTAACGCACAATACTATGGCTGTTAACAGTTCACAACTAATCCACAATACTGAGAGCAACAATTCACAACCCTGCAAGCAATTTCATCAATGATATTAACCCTTTCAGGGTCCGTCCCGTAGATCTACGGCTTTACGTTCAGGGTCCAAACCATAGATCTACGCCAAAATTCTAGCGGTGTCAAATTTAGTGAGAGAAGGCTGGTAGGCCTACATCTGAGAGAATGGGTCTGGGTGGTCAGTGTGCACACTATAGAAAAAATCTGGACACCCGCATGGCATTGTGGGAATGCCGGCAAAGTAGCTTTGTTCATTGTGCCTGGCGGCAAGGAAGCTCTCACTCCCCACTCACTCTCTGGGTGAATTCTGACTCTCCTCTTCACAACTTACAGTTCTAAGACTGATGGAAGTGGAGCTGAAGACGAATTCTATGATTTTGAACCATATGGTACCATATGGTACAATGGTGCCATGTCATACAATGGTATCATATGGTACAATGGTACCATATGGTACAATGGTACCATATAGTACAATGTACCATATAGTACAATGTACCATATAGTACAATGTACCATATAGTACAATGTACCATATAGTACAATGTACCATATGGTACATTATACCATATGGTACATTATACCATATGGTACAGGGTACAGGGACCCCTAATGGAAATAAGTCTGACTTTTTTGGGTTATCCTAGGTTCTCGAAACATATGCTGCTAAGTATGATATTCTATGTAACTTTATTTGTGTACAGGAGGGCCCCACTTATACGGCGGGTTAGGTTCCAGGCTACCGCCATAAAGCGGAAACTGCCGTAAAGTGGAACACCCTTTTTTTCCACTTACAAATGCATACAAACACTAGATAACAAGTTTACACTAACATATATTATGTTAGCAATATAACCAGGCATCAAAAAACAATAAAAAAGTACAATACACACATAGTGCACTCATTACTTACCTTAAAATATTTATAGTCTTAATCTAGGGTGAGACAAGTAGTGTTTATTGTAAGAAATCAAGTGTGGTATGTATGGTAGTCAGCCAGGCTACCATACCAGGCCAACCCACCCACACATACTATTCTATGATATTTAAGCATCCCAGAGCGATAAAATGTATATACAGTTCACTCATTACTTACCTTAAAATATAGGGTGAGATGAGTAGTATTTATTGTAAAAAATCAAAGTGTGGTATGTATGGTAGTCAGCCAGGCTACCATACCAGAGAGAAAGAATGAGTGCATGAGAGAGGACAGGCGCAGAGTTATGTAAACAAACCAGGCGAAGGTAAGTTTTGTAAACAGTGTACACGTCTGGTTTGTGTACAAGTTACATTGTGTACAGGTTGTCTCTACATCGATACGGTAGAATAAATAAAGAAGAACACTCCCATTCTCATGTAAACATCATTTTGAGAAGAAATGATGCTCTGAGTGAAGGCAATGGAAGTAAGTCACTCTGACTTTTTTGGGTTATCCTAGGTTCTCTACACATATGTTATGTATTTATGTTATGTATCGTGTTTATTATATAATTTTGAAAAAAATATCACGGATGGATTAATGAAAATGTGTATATTAACGTAATATACAACATTTAATGATACACCGAGCTCAGACAGCGTAAACAAAAACAAACTGAACAGGTTGTGGACGATCACTCGGTCAGGCGAAATAGACGGTATTAATACGTGTCCAGTTTTAGTTCATTCATGTACATTTGTAAGAGTTTGTGAAACTTTTACCTTATAATATTTTTATTATTATAATAATTAAATCACGAAACAAATACTCTTACACTGTGTACAAGTTAGTACAGAATTATAGCTATAAAGTGAAGGCATACGAAAGGAATATTTTTCTACAGTTATCCCTAGTAACAGGTGGACGGGCTAGAGAAAACGTAATTCTTCCACACTTATACAAACCGTTTGGTAAACATCTCATATATATTTGTATAAATTTTTATACTGTGGGTGCATGTATCATGTTTGTGTTTACATAATGTGTTTCTTATATAATTTAGAAAAAATATCATAGATTAAGGGAAATGTCTATATTAACGTAATATGCGACATTAATGCGCCCAAGAGATTATTATTACTATTATTATTATTAATTATTATTATTATTATTATTATTATTATTATTGCATCAAGAGTAGAGAGACTCTTAGTGATTTTAATGTGTACCTACATGCCAGCACAGTGTGTAAGTTTATTTAGGTACAGGTGTACACAAGTTTAATTATCAAGTACAATACATATAAAATATACAATAACTTTAAAACACTTGAAATTTTGGAAAGTTTCCAGACATAATAAGATGTGCTCAGGGAGAATGTAAACAAACTCGGTGGGACGCTGTGACCGTATTAGAAAGACAGGTGGGGGAGCCGTATAGCGAGTTTTGGTCATAATTTGAAATGTCCGTATTAGCGGAACGTCGTAAAGCGAAACGCCGTAAAGCGGGGCCCTGCTGTATACCCAAATAAACTTACTTATGATGCCACATGCACTCAAGTAAGTTTATTCGGGTGTACAGAAATACAATTACATAGATTATCATACATAGCAGCATATGTATAATATCTTAGGATAACCCAAAAAAGTCAGGGTGATTTATTTCCATAGTTATCCCTGTATCTGTACCATATGGTGTCCTGTATTGTATGGTACTCTGTGCCACACGGTACCCTGCACCACACGGTACCCTGCACCACATGGTACCCTAAGCCACACGGCACCCTGCACCACACGGTACCCTGCGCCACACGGTACCCTGCACCACACGGTATCCTGCGCCACACGGTACCCTGCACCACACGGTACCCTGCGCCACACGGTACCCTGCACCACACGGTACCCTGCGCCACACGGTACCCTGCACCACACGGTACCCTGCACCACACGGTACCCTGCACCACATGGTACCCTGCGCCACACGGTACCCTGCGCCACACAGTACCCTGTGCCACAGGGTACCCTGTGCCACACGGTACCCTGTGCCACACGGTACCCTGCGCCACAGTACCCTGTGCCACACGGTACCCTGTGCCACACAGTACCCTGCGCCATACGGTACCCTGCGCCATACGGTACCCTGCGCCATACGGTACCCTGCACCATACGGTACCCTGCACCATATGTTATCCTGTACTGCATGGTACCCTATACAATATAGTACAATGTACCACATGGTACCCTGTAACATATGATACCGTGTACCATATGGTTAATAGATGTTGGTGGCATGAGACACCAGCCAAGACTGAGTGGCGACACAAGCTAGCTACTGACTCCGCAGTTTCCGAGACAAAGCTCCACCTCGAGGAACATGTCGAGTTCCTGTACACTTGTAAATATATAATAGAACATTACTAATATACAACATTTTTGCATATTTTTGTTGTAAACAACTATTGTAAACAAAATAATAATGAAAATATTAGTGTGTTTATTGTGTTGAATACAACAGTACCATATAGTACCATACGGTACAATGAACCATATGGTATTGTACTGTATGGTACAATGTACCATAAGGTACCATTGCACCATATGGTACCATAAGGTACCATTGCACCATATGGTACCATAAGGTACCATTGCACCATATGGTACCATAAGGTACCATTGCACCATATGGTACCATAAGGTACCATTGCACCATATGGTACCATAAGGTACCATTGCACCATATGGTACCATAAGGTACCATTGCACCATATGGTACCATAAGGTACCATTGCACCATATGGTACCATAAGGTACCATTGCACCATATGGTACCATAAGGTACCATTGCACCATATGGTACCATAAGGTACCATTGCACCATATGGTACCATAAGGTACCATTGCACCATATGGTACCATATGGTACCATTGCACCATATGGTACCATATGGTACCATTGCACCATATGGTACCATTGCACCATATGGTACCATTGCACCATATGGTACCATTGCACCATATGGTACCATTGCACCATATGGTACCATTGCACCATATGGTACCATTGCACCATATGGTACCATAAGGTACCATTGCACCATATGGTACCATAAGGTACCATTGCACCATATGGTACCATTGCACCATATGGTACCATAAGGTACCATTGCACCATATGGTACCATAGCACCATATGGTACCATTGCACCATATGGTACCATTGCACCATATGGTACCATTGCACCATATGGTACCATAAGGTACCATTGCACCATATGGTACCATAAGGTACCATTGCACCATATGGTACCATTGCACCATATGGTACCATTGCACCATATGGTACCATAAGGTACCATTGTACCATATGGTACCATAAGGTACCATTGTACCATATGGTACCATAAGGTACCATTGTACCATATGGTACCATAAGGTACCATTGTACCATATGGTACCATAAGGTACCATTGTACCATATGGTACCATAAGGTACCATTGTACCATATGGTACCATAAGGTACCATTGTACCATATGGTACCATTGCACCAATGGTACCATATGGTACCATTGCACCAATGGTACCATAAGGTACCATTGCACCATATGGTACCATAAGGTACCATTGCACCATATGGTACCATAAGGTACCATTGCACCATATGGTACCATAAGGTACCATTGCACCATATGGTACCATAAGGTACCATTGCACCATATGGTACCATAAGGTACCATTGCACCATATGGTACCATAAGGTACCATTTGCACCATATGGTACCATAAGGTACCATTGCAACCATATGGTACCATAAGGTACCATTGCACCATATGGTACCATAAGGTACCATTGCACCAATATGGTACCATAAGGTACCATTGCACCATATGGTACCATTGCACCATATGGTACCATAAGGTACCATTGCACCATATGGTACCATAAGGTACCATTGCACCATATGGTACCATAAGGTACCATTGCACCATATGGTACCATAAGGTACCATTGCACCATATGGTACCATAAGGTACCATTGCACCATATGGTACCATAAGGTACCATTGTACCATAAGGTACCATTGCACCATATGGTACCATAAGGTACCATTGCACCATATGGTACCATAAGGTACCATTGCACCATATGGTACCATAAGGTACCATTGCACCATATGGTACCATAAGGTACCATTGCACCATATGGTACCATAAGGTACCATTGCACCATATGGTACCATAAGGTACCATTGCACCATATGGTACCATAAGGTACCATTGCACCATATGGTACCATAAGGTACCATTGCACCATATGGTACCATAAGGTACCATTGCACATATGGTACCATAAGGTACCATTGCACCATATGGTACCATAAGGTACCATTGCACCATATGGTACCATAAGGTACCATTGCACCATATGGTACCATAAGGTACCATTGCACCATATGGTACCATAGGTACCATTGCACCATATGGTACCATAAGTGTACCATTGCACCATATGGTACCATAAGGTACCATGGCACCATATGGTACCATAAGGTACCATTGCACCATATGGTACCATAAGGTACCATTGCACCATATGGTACCATAAGGTACCATTGCACCATATGGTACCATAAGGTACCATTGCACATATGGTACCATAAGTTACCATTGCACCATATGGTACCATAAGGTACCATTGCACACATATGGTACCATAAGGTACCATTGCACCATATGGTACCATAAGGTACCATTGCACCATATGGTACCATAAGGTACCATTGCACATATGGTACCGATAAGGTACCATTGCACCATATGGTACCATAAGGTACCATTGCACCATATGGTACCATAAGGTACCTTGCACCATATGGTACCATAAGGTACCATTGCACCATATGGTACCATAAGGAACCATTGCACCATATGGTACCATAAGGAACCATTGCACCATATGTACCATAAGGAACCATTGCACATATGGTACCATAAACCATTGACCAATTCCATTGCATATGGTACATAAGGTACCATTGCACCATATGGTACCATTGCACCATATGGTACCATAAGGTACCATTGCATCCAATGGTACCATTGCACCATATGGTACCATAAGGTACCATTGCACCATATGGTACCATGTGACCATCACCATATGGTACCATAAGGTACCGATTGCACCATATGGTACAAAGGTACATGCACCATAGGTACCATAAGGTCCATTGCAACCATATGGTACCATAAGGTACCATTGCAACCATATGGTACCATAAGGTACCATTGCACCATATGGTACCATAAGGTACCATTGCACCATATGGTACCATAAGGTACCATTGCACCATATGGTACCATAAGGTACCATTGCACCATATGGTACCATAAGGTACCATTGCACCATATGGTACCATAAGGTACCATTGCACCATATGGTACCATAAGGTACCATTGCACCAATATGGTACCATAAGGTACCATTGCACCATATGGTACCATAAGGTACCATTGCACCATATGGTACCATAAGGTACCATTGCACCATATGGTACCATAAGGTACCATTGCACCATATGGTACCATAAGGTACCATTGCACCATATGGTACCATAAGGTACCATTGCACCATATGGTACCATAAGGTACCATTGCACCATATGGTACCATAAGGTACCATTGCACCATATGGTACCATAAGGTACCATTGCACCATATGGTACCATAAGGTACCATTGCACCATATGGTACCATAAGGTACCATTGCACCATATGGTACCATAAGGTACCATTGCACCATATGGTACCATAAGGTACCATTGCACCATATGGTACCATAAGGTACCATTGCACCATATGGTACCATAAGGTACCATTGCACCATATGGTACCATAAGGTACCATTGCACCATATGGTACCATAAGGTACCATTGCACCATAGGTACCATAAGGTACCATTGCACCATATGGTACCATAAGGTACCATTGCACCATAGGTACCATAAGGTACCATTGCACCATATGGTACCATAAGGTACCATTGCACCATATGGTACCATGCACCATATGGTACCATTGCACCATATGGTACCATTGCACCATATGGTACCATTGCACCATATGGTACCATTGCACCATATGGTACCATTGCACCATATGGTACCATTGCACCATATGGTACCATTGCACCATATGGTACCATTGCACCATATGGTACCATTGCACCATATGGTACCATGCACCATATGGTACCATTGCACATAGGTCCATAAGGTACCATTGCACCATATGGTACCATAAGGTACCATTGTACCATATGGTACCATTACCATATGGTACCATTGTACCATATGGTACCATAATGTACCATTGGTACCATAAGGTACCATTGTACCATATGGTACCATAAGGTACCATTGTACCATATGGTACCATAGGTACCATTGTACCATATGGTACCATTGTACCATATGGTACCATAAGGTACCATATGGTACCATAAGGTACCATTGTACCATATGGTACCATAAGGTACCATTGTACCATATGGTACCATAAGGTACCATTGTACCATATGGTACCATTGCACCATATGGTACCATAAGGTACCATTGTACCCATAAGGTACCATAGGTACCATTGTACACATATGGTACCATAAGCACCATATGGTACCATAAGGTACCATTGCACCATATGGTACCATTGTACCAATGGTCCATTGTACCATATGGTACCATTGCATCATGTGCCATTGTACCATATTGTACCATATGGTACCATTGCATCATGTGCCATTGTACCATATTGTACCATATGGTACCATTGCACCCTATGGCATCATTGTACCATATGGTACTATATGGTACCGTTGTATTCAACACAACCACACTAATATTTTCATCATTTTGTTTACAATAAACTTGTAAACAAGTTTTGTAATCAATATAATGATAAACAAATTAGTGCAGTTATTGTGTTGAATACAATGAGTGTACACTTATACATTATACATTATATTGGTCTCACAGGCCACAAATGTTATTAGAAAAAGAAAAAATTAGAAAAGAAAATAAAAAAGCATAAAAAACGTAAAATAAAAAAAATGGGATTTTGCGGAAGTCACTG